TATAACGGCACTTCATAGCTGGTATAATCTACTTTAAATAAATTGCCAATATAAACATTGATTTATTTAGTGGTGTAGTGTACTATGTAGTCGGTGCGCTTGACATTTGACCTTTCTTTTCTGATTTTCATTCGTATTTTTCTAAAGTAAAATCCAAGAATTATCCACTTTATACGCATCATTTCTTATTTATTTTACAATTTTCCAACAATTCTCCTTCTTCTTCTCTTTGTAGTCTTAGCCTTTATTTTAGTGGTGTAGGGTACCACATATTCGGTCTTCTTGACTTTTGACCTTTCTTTTATGATTTTCTTTCGTATTTTTCCAAAGTAAAATCCAAGAATTATCCACTTTATGCGCACCATTTCCTATTTATTTTACAATTTTCCAACAATTCTCCTTCTTCTCCTCCTTGCAGTCTTAGCCTTTGTCACTCTTGTCCTATTTGTGTTCCAATTTTAACCATTAATTAGAAATGAATGACAACAAAGACATTCAGACATTCGGGAAAATATCATGGCCTACAACAACAACATCAAATTGCCAACAACTGACATTCATCCTTTCACCTGCAAAGAAAGAATGCATTCGTTTCGCAGTCTTCATCCCCTTCCCTCTCTCTGAGAACATTTCCTGTAACCATGCCAAAGACAAATCCTTTCTTCTTCTTCTTCGCTTTCATTTCTTCTTTGTGAAGAATAATGAAGACAGTAGGAGGATTTCTCAAATGTGATTCATTGCACAATAATTGCATTTTTAAGGTAAAATGTGAAAGGTTATGGTGGGGTTTTTTATGTTTCCTTTCTTGTTGTCGTTCTGAGTGAGGTCCACACACAAAGTCATGAATCAAGACATGAATAGTTTCTAGTCTGGCACATTATCTGATTCCAAGGTTTTCTCCATTATTCATAGACGTTTCCTTGAGTTGGCATGAGGGCCAACATTGCCAAAATGGCATGGAAATGCATTCGTAGGAGGGCTACTAAAAGGTGGCAATTTGTAATTGGTGAAAAGGCAAAAGCAGAAACAGGAACAATTATGAATTTTAAAAGTCCATGGAAAAATCAAAACAAAATTTTCACTGCAAATTTCAGACCAATAAGCTCGTCTCGAAAGAGAAACAAACACATAAAAAAATGTTTTTGGTCCTTTAATTTTAAAAATTTGACATGAAGTCCCTTAAAAATAATTTTATTAAAATCCCACTAAAAACCTAAAAATTCATTTAATCATAAAAATTCCCAATTGGTCCTTTAAATTTAAAAAATTCACAAAATTTTTATATTTTAAAAATTCATGTCTTTTTGAGCTGGTCATTCTTGGAAAAAAAGATAAACCAAAAAAGTCCACAATTGGTTCTTGAAACTTCCCGTTTCTTGAAAAAATAATCATAACAAATCCTAGTTTGGTGCTTGAAAAAGTAGTCAAAATAAAAAGGTCCAAAGTAGGGTGGGTCTGACAATATGATACCCTACACCGCTATGCAAGCTACCCGTAACAAATAAACGTTTATGTTGGAAATTTATCTGAAGTAGATCATACCAACCTTGAACCTTATTTTGAATGCGTATTATAGCTATAGAACAGTTATAATCTGGAATCAGAGGGAACTAATATATCGGAGGTATATCCGAATCGTTTTCCACCCAATTTGACGGAGGCATTTGCACCTCTCGTACCAAATTACATTGCTGTAGAGTGCATCATGATATTATTCGAGAAGGATTCTATTAAAAAAAATTATCGGAGCCATGGATATATTGCAACCGGCAAAAAAAAATTCAGTAGAATGTAAAAAAAATCATCCGATTTGGCCTTACATTACATTTTGATGCACAAAAAAAACCTGAACTCGGAAAACGATATATATGGGAGCTATATCTAAATCTCAACCGAACTCGACTACATTTGTCAGAGTTATTTCTCATCTGTATCTGATATCTGGTATCAAATATCATACTGCGAAAGTGAGTAAGTGATAAACAACAAATCGGATGAAACATATCTATGGGAGCTATAGCTATATTTGAACCAATTTTCAGCACATTTGAAGTATTTGCTTCTAGGCTGAATTCGGTCGGATGTGCCAAGTTCCACTCCATTTGTCCTGATATTAAACATTCAGCTCGCAGTAAAAGTAAAATCAGATAAAAATATATATGGAAGCTATATCTAAACTGAACCGATCTTCTATAAAATTTGCCAGAAGTATTTCTGAGCCGTATGAGGTATCTGTTACCAAATATTATTGTTTTGGAGCGCTCATTATAAATGGGAGGAACTTAAACACCAAATTGGATGAAATATATGTATGGGAGCTATAGCAGATTTTTACAAAATATGAAGTACCTGTTTCTAGGCTGAATTCGGTAGTACGTGCCGAAATACATCCTATTTGAATGAATATTATACACATGGCGCACAATACAATTGAAATAGGACGAATATGTATATGGGAGCTATATCTGAATTTAGACCGATTCTCATGAATTTCAATAGGGCCCGTCTTTGGGCCAAATAAATGGAAAATTTCACCTCTATCGGATAATAAATGCCAACTGTACTTTGTCTACATAGACCAACAGGCGGAAAGGCGTTATTGCATAAATCGACTCAGAATGTGATTATATGAAGATATTCAAAAGGACCTATAGTACACATTTCTAAAACCACGTCCATATCTCAATACCAGAGACCTACAGTGACATACATATCGAATTTCAGCTCTATCCCTTCACTCAACAACCAAATTAGTACCACTTACTATTTCCCGAACAATTATAGTACACATTTCCAAAACCATCTGCATATCTTAATCCCAAATACCTACAGTTCCTCAATATAAAATTTCGGGATTCCAGATCTATGGCTTCACCAAATTTAGTACCACATAGTATTTTCCGAACAATTATATTACACATTTCATATCTTAACTACAGATCCCCACCTCCATTGGTTCTATTCGAATTTTTAATATTTTAATACGCATAAGTACAAATTTCCATACAATCCAATAGAAATTTTATTTACCAAGGATCGGTTTACCCGAATCCAAATTGGCAATTCGTAATTATGTGTGCCCATGTGCAAATTTTCAGATGCCAGCTCTATTGGTGCACCCAAATCTCAAGTGAACAAATTTAGTACGTTTTAGTTCTTATAAGTATTAATTTCCATATCGCAATCCAACACTCCGAGAGTATTCTTCTTTCAAAATTTCAGGATACCAGCTCTATTTTAGTACCATTTAGCACACATAAATACAAATTTCTATAACTAGGATGTATGTAGTTATGGAATCCAATAAAAATATGATTTCCAAATTTCAGGATTTCAACTCTACCGTTGTACCATTTAGTACACAATCCAAATCCAAATCCAAAATTACCTACATACCTCCGTCCTACATTTCAATAGCAACTTTATTTTCAATTGTCAGAATTTCAACTCTATCGGTTCACTCAATGGGAAATTGTACCAAATTTAGTACCACTACGTACACATAAGTACGAATTTCCAAAATTTCCTACATAATCCAATTCTACAATGTAATAGTTATTTTTTTTCCAAATTTCAGGATTCTAAAATTTACATTGTTCCAAATTTGGTACCATTTAGTACACATAAGTACGAATTTCTAAAATTATCTCCGTATCTCAGTCCTACATTCCAATAGTAACTGTTTTTCCAAATTTCAGCTTTTTAGCTCTATCGGTTCACCCAAATCGAAATTGTACCAAATTTACTATTTTACTTTTTATTGTACTTTTCGAGCACACATGTACAAATATTGAAAACTTCCTATATATCAATTCTACACTCCGCCAATTATGTTTATTTCAAATTTCAGGATTTCAGCTCCACCCGTTTCTCCAAATTCAAATTGCCCCAAATTTAGTACCGTTTAGTACTAGTCGTATACGCGAGTCAACACTTCCAAACCTACGTCTTTACATCTACTCTACTCCTCAACCTTGATTCCCATTCCAAATTTCACGTTTTTTTGGTACCAAATTTAGTACATTTTAGTACTTTTCGTTCATTTATAATGCGAATTTTCAAAAACCCTTTGGCACATCCATCATGCACTCAATCAGTGTCCCTCACTCCAAACTTAACAGTTCTAGCTCTTAAGTTTCCATATTTTGTACTGTTTAATACTTTTCGTACTCTTCTAGTACGAATTTCCGAAAAAACCAGCATTATCTGACCCCTTCGGACCAATAGTGTCCATCACCCAAAATTTCAACCTTGATTCCCATTCCAAATTTCAAGTTTTTAGCTCTAACCGTTCACATGATACGAAATGGTACCAAATGTAATACATTTTAGGATTTTTCGTACACTTAGAGTGCAAACTTCCAAAAACCATTTCATACATCCGTCATACACCATCAGAGACCCTCTATCCAAATATAAGAGTTCTAGCTCTACTGCTTCCTCAAATACAAAGGGTACCATATGTTGTACCTTTTTATGCTTTTCATTTCGTTCTAGTACGAATTTCTGAAAATCCAGCCTTATCTGATCCCTTCGGACCAAGAGTGACCCTCACCCAAAATCTCAAGATTCTTAGCCTTAGCCGTTTAGTCTGAGCGTTGGTGAATCGTTACTTTTATTCTTTTATTAATATATATAAAATACAAAAAAATATTTTAAAATATTTAAAAAAATATTTTTTTTTAAATAAATAAAAATATATTTAAAAAAATCCACTTTTTGGTCGTCCAAAATTTATGTAATTTTTTAATTTTTTTTTTTTTTGGTAATCAAAATGTGTTTTTAAAAATTAAAAAAATGTATGCCTTATTAAAAATCCATTGGTCCTTAACAAAATATTTTTTAAAAATATTATTTTAAAAAAAAATTGTTTCTCCTTGAAAAACACTTTTTTTTTGTTAAAAACTAACCCATGAAGAATAGATTCTTAAAAAATCCGCCCTAATGTCCCTCCAAAAAATTATCTTAAAATAATTGTATTGCAATAATTTTTGTCTTACCTCTCTGCGGCTTATACCCATAAATCTCCAACACTGGCAAGCCATCCTCCATGAAACGTCGAACCTGTTGCCAATTTTCATCATTTATATTTATAGACTGATCTGCTGGCAGAACATTGACATCCGGTATGAATTTGCTTTCAATTAATTTGATATTTTTGAGATTCTGATCGATTTGTAGAACTGAGGCCGAAGCCACCGAGATCACAAGCAAAGACCACTGGAGCCACATTTTGTTTTTGAAAGTCTGGGAATTTATTTCTAAAAATTTTTTAAAAATCTCTTAGGGCGTTTCTAACCCTTTTGCAATAGATTGCGATAAGTTTATCAAGCTACACGAAAACGAATCTCAATTTTAAAAATGCAATTTTGATGGCACGACTTTTCTTTAAATATTTTTTTGTTATTATTGTAATTGTTGTATAATTATGTCGATTATTTGTTAATAAACATTGTTTAGTATTTTTTTTATTTAATTGTTTCACTTGTCAGTTTTGCTTTTGTTTTAAAGACGGAGATCGTTTAGTAGATTGCTTTTGTTTGTTAAATTGGCTGATTATCTTTTCTGTTGTTGTTGTTGTTGTTGTTGTTGTTGTTGTGGTTGTCTTCAAGTATTTACATTATATTTTGTTGTTGTTGTTGGAGTTTTACACTTTTTCTATATTGCCACGAATTGTTTGTTAACTGCAAGCTGTAATTATAAAATATCAATAAATATTTCTGTGATTAAATAACCCACTGATCGATTGGCAATTTCACCTGGTTATCTTGATCTCCCTGTGTGAGTGTGTGGTGCAATGGCTTGTGTTATATCCGTGATTGGAAAATTCACTTCGTTATGGAATTTTATGAAAAACCAGTAGAGAGGGAGAAAGCTTGTGGTTGGAGTCATAACATACCCCACACCTTGAGCTTGTAACAAAGGAAATCAAATCGAGCTCTTAGCAGGTGTATTACATTGTATTTTATAAACAACAATTGGGTCACTAGGAATTACACATTTGGACTTCATATCCCCCCTCTCAAATTTTCCTAACATTTTATCTAATTACACAATTTTCAAATAACACCCGAACCCTCTCCCCCTTTCCTCCATCCTCATTTGATATTGTAAACTGCATTTTTGTAATTTCCAGAAAATGTAAAAATATTGTTATGTCGGTAAAAAAAAACAAGTTTTTTTTTGCTTCTAATTATAGCTGACAACCAACGCCAGAAAGCAGCGGGTTGAATGCTCCCATTCAAAACTATGTTTTTAGGCTTGTTTTAACCATAAATGTTTAGCAATGTATTTTTTTGTTTGTTTTTACTATAAAACGTTTTTGGTTTTCAAAGTGACAACTGTGGTTATGACAATGTTGACGTGATGCAACAGCTAATGTTGTGCAATCGGAATTCCAAAATAAAAAAAAAAAATCAACTGCATAACGAATAACAATCGGAAAAACAATGTAAAAATTAATATAGGAAAAACTGCTTAGCTAGGAATGTGAATTGAAAAACATCATAAACACGTAACGCATAATAACTTTTCCTCAATCAAAATTTTGATAGGATTTTTTAATCAGCTTTCCAGGGGCCAAAATCGGTACCTTGAAAAACAGTACCGTGTACTAGTTTGCTTATATGAAATAGTGGGTTAGTAGGCTAAAAAGTTGACAAAATTTAAAAAATGTAATTTAAACTCGGTCAGAAAGAAATTGATCTACTGATAATTGAGATAAATTCAAATGGGGCAATAAAATTAATGAAAGTGCTTACTTTAATTGAAATTACAACTCCCTTGAGACTTAAAATTAATTAATAACAAAACGCAAGTAATTGCTTCCCTTTAGCTTTGAAATTAATATTTGTTAGTGATTATTGATTAAAAAATAATAACAATAATTGAATAATGCTTAGACAGACAAAAAATGAAATAATAAAGAGATTAGAGGTATCCATTGTTTCCACCCTGCACAATTATGTGAGAGGATATAAAAAAATGGTTTTGACACTAAATTTTAGAAAACATACTACAGTAATGGTTCTGATCACAACGTAGATATACTCTTATAAATTGCTTCTCTCTATCTTCTAACTCCATCCTTCTTCTCTATTTTCCTCCATCTCCTTCTCATCGAGTGGAGTGGTAGTTCAAACTAACACGCATCCTTAACCTGATCTATGTTTGGAAATTTTCGAAAAAAATAAATAAAAATAAAAAAATAAATAATAATAATAATAATAATAATAATAATAATAATAATAATAATAATAATAATGATAATAATAATAATAATAATAATAATAATAATAATAATAATAATAATAATAATAATAATAATAATAATAATAATAATAATAATAATAATAATAATAATAATAATAATAATAATAATAATAATAATAACAATAATAATAATAACAATAATAATAATAATAATAATAATAATAATAATAATAATAATAATAATAATAATAATAATAATAATAATAATAATAATAATAATAATAATAATAATAATAATAATAATAATAATAATAATAATAATAATAATAATAATAATAATAATAATAATAACAATAATAATAATAATAATAATAATAATAACAATAATAATAATAATAATAATAATAATAATAATAATAATAATAATAATAATAATAATAATAATAATAATAATAATAATAATAAATAAAAATAGAATCTGTTAAAAATTATGTTAAAACCTTAAAAATACGAAATATGGGGAGCTAACTTTTTTGGAGTCCATACGGAGACGTGGACCTGCAATTTTATGTCACAGGCAGAAGGACCCATTACGAAGTGCAAATACAAAATTTGAAATAATTCCGTTGAATAATGTAAATAAAATAATCAAAATACCGAATATAGGGAGGTACGTTATTATTGGAGCTATACGAAGACCTGGACCTGCAGAGGAATTTCCTATCAAATTCTGTACGAGTAGTACCCATTATGAACTTCAAATACGAAATTTAAAACAATTTCGGTAAATAATGTCACTGAAATCCTCAAAATAACGAATATAGGGAGGTATCCTTTATATGGGGGCTATACGAAGACCTGGATCTGTTTCGGAAATTTGAACACGAAATTTTAAATAATTGGGGTGAATAATGTCGCTAAAATCATCATAGGCTGTAGTGCCCATTACGAACTGTAAATATGGAATTTGATACAATTCCGGTGAATAATGTCACTAAAATCATCAAAGTACCGAATATAGGGTTATATGGGGGCTATACCAAGACGTGGACCTGTACAGACAATTTTCTGTCTTAGGCTATACTATCCATTACGAACTTCAAATACCAAATTTGAAACAATTCCGGTGAGAAATATCGCTTAAATCAACAAAGTACCGAATATCGGGAGGTATCGTTATATGGGGGGCTATACGAAGACTTGGACTAGCACAGACAATTTTCTGTCTTAGGCCGTAGTATCCATTACGAACATCAAATACCAAATTTAAAACATTTCTGGTGAATAATGTCGCTTAAATAACCAAAATACCGAAAAAGGGAGGTACCATTTTATGGGGGCTATACCAAAACGTGGATCTACTTGACCCATTTCCAATACCAAAAGGTCTGCAGATGAAACTCACATTTGAGTAAAATTTTATCAACCTTCTTCAATTCATTCGGAAGCCAGAGTGAGAAAGACGGTCATCGCTAAATCGACATAGAATTTTATCCTGATCATGAATATATAGTATATAGGTATATGGGTTTTAAAATGTATATTTCGAGGTGTTACAAACGGAATGACGAACTTAATATAACCTCCATACTTTGGTGGAGGGTATAAAAAGAATTAACAGGACATATAAAGTGTCTGGAGTAGCTTGGCGGTAGAATTCAGTATTTTATGACACTTAATTTAAACAAGTAAAAAAAAATGTTAAGTTAGGCCGGGCCGAACTTTTAATACCCTACACCATTGGGTAAAGAAAATATTTTTATATAAAAGTATCTGAATTCAAGCATGTGCGTATACAAATAAGACCGTTTGGATAAAATGCCAAATTTGAAAAAAAAAAAATGTAAGTAATTGTGACTAGGATTATCCAAATAACGAATATCGGTGGGTACCGTTATATGTGCGCTACAGGAGAACATGGACCTACACATTCAATGTTCTGCGGACAAATCCGGTGTAAAATGTGGCAAAATACCGAATATCGGTGGGTACCGTTATATGTGGGACTGATATATCTCATTTTCAATACCAACCATCCTAGATACAAATTATTAAAGCTCTACGTCAAATAATGTTGGCTGTGTTCTGATTTCAACAGACAGACGGTCATCGACAAATCGACTTAGAATTTTATGCTGATTTGGGGTCTACGATATTCAGGGATGTTACAAAAGGAATAATAACCCGTCTGCAGACAAATGACGATATATTCTATTAATGGGAGATTTTATAAAGATTTTAAATTTCGTACCGTTTCATAGGTTTGTAATGATAGCTGGTCTTTTGGATACTTCTATAACTGCAATACCACACAAACATGATCTCTGATTTACCGTAAAAAAGGAGACCATTTTCTCATACGTTTTTCAAAAAAAAAATGAATTTCTTTCTGATACTTTAATTTATGATATTCCTTCGGGAAGTGTGGCTATCATTGAATTTCTATTTCAAATGTCCAATTTTGAATATTTCATCATTCCTACTATCTACCTTAGTGCAATCTTTCCACAAAGTACTTCACAAATATTGTTTACAGTTCGGAATAAAAAAAAACTCATTGTAATGTGTATTTATAAATCCGCACTTAAACACCCTACTTAAAAGGTATTCACTTTTAGACGTTGTCGTCTCAGCGCATTTAATTGAAATTAATTTGTCTAACGCTGGTTAGTGGATGTGTGAAAAACACGAGCAACTGCGGTCACTCTTGTTTATTTCTTATCTGTTTGTTTGTTTATACCTATTCTAGTCTTTCTTTTGCATTCTCTTTCCTAAAAACGAGGTTTATTTTTCTCTGCAGATATATCTTTTTGGTCACACATACACACACACACGCACACGTTGACAATAAAGCAAAAGACCCCGAAACAGCCTTGTATGCGATCAGATTTAAGTGCAGGGGTCAATTAACCCCTCCAACAGTCGCCCTGCTGCGTATGTCACACACAGACGTGTATGGGTATGACAACTAAGTCTAGTTTTCAATTAATCTGTTGTATGTCAAACAGACGGACGGACGATATGTACAAACATACATATATGTGGACATCATGATGTGGTTATTCAGTCATTTTTGACCCTCCCCAGTCAGTCAGCCAGTCATTCAATGAAATTTACGATATTTTTATTACGACCACCGCAGAATTTTATTGCGATGTTTGGTTTTTGGGTGAAAGTTCTCTCAGTACGCAAGAATAAAGTGAATCTTTTGCATTTTATATCCGGAATAAGTACAAAGAGAGGGAGAGCGAGGGGGAATGATAAAAATAGATTTCTTTGAGTAATTGGTTTTAGTGAAAATGTACTTCTTTAATTCGAATTTAATAATAATTTTTTTTTGGAAAATTTTATTTATTTATAATTGATGAAGAAGAGAACATCTTTCATTAGTATTATAATAATGAGTATGGGTGATAAATGCTCCATCTAGCTTCTGACATGTGTTGTTTATTTTAGAACCTCAGCTGAAAATAGTTGTT